GATAAAAATAATGATAGTAATCAAGGGGATGAAGAATATATAAAGGTAAGACCCAAAAATACAAATATTTACGTAAATCATGGTTGAACATTTAGTAGTAATTCCTCATTAAATCATTATATTCTTGATTATAGAAAATAATCAAAGAAGTTGCTAAAAAGTTACTTGAAGCTTCAATATATCCTACCCCCGATGAACTTTGAGAGTTCACTAATAATTATATGAATGAAAACTACGATGATTTTATTAAACGGTTTAAAAGATATGATAAATGGATTATATTTTATGAAAAAAATATTGCTTCTCCCGTAAGTTTTGAGAAATTACGATTTTACATTAATTTATTGAAATTTAAATTTAAAATCTTTTCTTTATCTTCTAGTTAAACATCGTAGTGCCCGGGGTTCTTTAGCTTCTAAAGTGAAAGACATAATGTATGTCGTTTTTAAAGAATTTAACCTTCCCACAATCCCTGCTTTAAACACTGCATTAAAGGAAAGCGAAATAAGAAAATGGAAAGGGAGCCCAGCCGTGAAAAATTGTTACGGTAATTTATTCAAAAAAATCAAGAATCCGGATCCGGAGACATATATGTCGAGAATCCTTCAAATACTTAAAGGCAAAAATCAATTATCTAATATGCAAATTGCATATGCAATAAGTATTTGTGAAATTATTTTAAATCTGAAAAATTTACATATTCAGGTTACAGAATCTGTCATAAAACCCGTTTTAACGAAGAATTTGGTAAGCATTAGAAATTTGAATAAATAGTAATATTTAAAAACTAATTTTGTTTTACTTCTTAGAAAAAAATTACAAGTAAGGATAATTATTCATATTCCGATAATGACGAAATAGAAGCTTCCTAAGAAGCTGAAGAGACAAACAAAGGAGTTGATGAAGCAGCAGAAGTTGATGAAGCAGAAGAAGTAGCTGACGAAGCAGAAGAAGTATTACAAGAAGAGGAAGAAAACGAGATAAGAGAAGAAGACGAGGAGGAAGGCGGAAGAATTTATATAAGTAGTACGGATGAAGAGACAAAAGAAAGAATGAGGCGATTAAAAAAACAATATAAAAAATAAAATAATAATTGACTATGCATATATTTTTTATATTTTAATATCCCCCCATATATTTTAATATCCCATTTATTTTAATAAAGGAGATAATTTTCAAGTCAATAAATAAATACATGTTCGGGTAAAATATATTTGATCATTATTTAGTTGGCCACTTTATTTTGTGTAAATGTGAAATATTACGATTGTAATAAATAAGAATGATTATTTTAGAAACTTGAATTACCAGATGAGATAAGTTACGTAGCGTAATATAAGTTATTGAATTTATTACACAACTGAACGCAACCATTTTCTGAACTTTTAGCCCGTTTTGAATACCAAAAACAACCAACCAAAATTAGATAATTTCTGTTTACGTGATATTTAAGAAAAAGACATAAGTTATAATTTCCTTTTTAATCCTAACAAAATCAGTTACAGGAAATAC